AAGCACCTTGCAGGCCTCCACAGAGCACTGAGCTCCCTGTGACAATGAATGCAAACAACAAACCTGCTGGGTTATGTTTAGTGTCTCATCATTAAACCCAGGACTCCTAGTGGTACAGGTTTGACTAGTAGGAGAGAGCATCTGGTATTTTTCAGTAAGGTCCCACAAAATGCTTGTACATCTGCTTTGTTTTTAACGTGAGACTATTTAGTAAATAGAAATTATGACGACTTGAACAATTCACTATCAGAGGTTACTTTAAAACAAATATTACTGTGGATTTACACATGATAATGTCAAGGGGTTTCAAAAAGTGTATATATTCTTGTGAAATAAAATGGGGACTAGCTGAGAACTTTCTTGTCTAAACAAAATGATTGTTTTCATAGCCTAGAATGTGAAGGAAGATTCTTACACAAGCCGGCTTCAAGAAGGCCAACCGCTCAATGCAAAGTTAACAGGGTCGTCACTATGGCAACCTAATATTGTTACCTCCATCTATAAAAGTGCTTATTTAAGCTTGGAATATAATTTCTTGATTTTGGTGAGGCTCTGACAGGGAAAGAGCAGCATTTTAAAAAATATTCACCCTTCTCACAAAAAAGAAGGGGGAGACTGGTGTTGGCCTTAACACGTACCATGTTGACAAAAACACTAGGTCAAATGGATCTGAGATGTAAGCCCAATTCAAGACTGACTCCATTCTCCACAGAGCCTCCCAAGAAAAGGAATTCCTTTATGTTCATGGAGCCTTCTTTCTCAAAAGCTGTTCCACTCATAGCTTTGCAGCAAAGCGAATGAGGTGTGAAGAAGGGCTGCCCTGAGGAAATTTCTAAGAGCCAGTGTTTTTTGTCCCCTTACCCTCCTGCCTCTTGTCATTTTTAAATCTTACCATGGAGGCTTCCTCCCTTCCACCATAATGGTGGGAGAGGCTTAATCAATTTGAATGGACCCTGAATAAAGTCAACAAAAGTTCGTACTTACTAGAACTATAAAACATCGAAGGTGGTTGCTACTGATAAAATGGACTTGAAACTACATTTTTTTAAAATCAATAAAGACCGTAAAATTGTAGTTGTCTTGTAGTGAATGAATCATTTAAAATTATTCAAGCCATTTCTAAACTTAAGTGTGATACAGAAGACTAAATCTTGAAGAAACTGTTAAAAGAAAAGCAATTTCACACTCAATTTAGAAAACCCTACATGAGTAAACTATAGACATTGTCAGATAGTGTAAAATTTTCTCAATTCAGTGAAAAGGTTTTTGTTTTGATTTTGCTTTTAGATTTGTTGAATTTATTTCTTTGGAATACTAAAACTTTTATTTTTTTGGTATGATGCATAATACACTTGTAAAAACTACACCCTACTGCAAAACTTCACCCAGCTTCTTAAAGCTTAGATATTTCTTACATAAATATTTCTTAATGTGTGAAACTTTTTATTTATTTTGTAAAAACATTTAATATTAATAAAATGCTATAACCAAAAGCAGTGGCCTTTTCTTTTTAAGACAAAACAAAGTTTTGATACAAATCAGGATGCACACAAACCATATAGAAAGTCCTAAAGTTTATTTTGGTAAACTTGCTTTTTATAGGCATTGGTAGAAAGTCATTACTTTTTCAGAGAGATTTCTTTGAGAAGTGAAAAAAATGCAAAGGCTTACACTTTTATTTCAAATATGCATAGTAATTACCCAGGGAGAAAAATTCTCCATGTTCTGCTTGTTGAAAGCGACTAGACTGTTCTAGAGTGAAAGGCTGAACTGTCTCCCTTTTCCATTCTGAAACAGCTGGTGGGGCCCTGCTTCTCCTCCGGTTCTCCTGAAGGGCGGGGGTCGCCACGCTGGCCTTGGTATGTTGAGGAGATAGGCTTCTTCTCGGTGCCCAGGCCTGTGTGCCCTCTCTCACTCAGTCGGGCCCTTCACAAGCAACAGCATGCAGGGCCCCAGCAGAACCTACCGTCTTCTCCCCAACACAATCCCTTCCCTCTTTGACAGCGCTGTACCAACGCTGCCACTGCCAGGAGACCCGCACCAAAGAGCACAGCTCCAGACAAGGCCACAGGAAAGCCTGGTGCTGCCATGCCCTATTTTAGGGGGCACTCCCCCAAAGATCCCTAAGAATCTGCTCCCAGATTCTGAGGGAGGATGTTTACTCTTTCAAACTACCCTTCAACGTTAGGGATGACTCGATGTCCAGGAAGCACATACTGATTTTTTGTCCCCTGTGTTTTAATGGTTGAGAGGAAAAGCAGAATTTTGCTTAAAATGTTAATGCTTCTTGAGGTGGTTGGGTGCATGAACACCCTAAATGTCATGCGATAGCTGTGGGGCTGCAGGTAGATCGAAGCCTCTCCTAGCGCTAACAGCTATAAGCAAAATGCCTTTACTCAGCTGTTCTACAGGTAGCAGAGTTTGAAAGTAATCTTTGGTTCATCTGAGGCAGAATCAGGTTCTCGGAGGAGCGGCATCTGCTTTACGTCCGTCCTGTCTCCCACAGGATGATGGGTGTCCCTGCTGATCCCCAACGCATCGCCTGCTGAAGCAGAGTCAAAGCGGCAGCCCAGCCCGGCCCCATCTGCTCTGATATGGACACACTTCATTAGTTTTCATTTACATAACGGAAATTAAATGATAACATTATAAATAAATGATAACATTTTTTCTCCCAAAGCTGAAATTTCCAGAGGAGGACTTCGGCTTAAAACACAGCATAGCATGTTTTTCATTAAATAACCCCCCAAAGAAACTAAAAAAGGAATGACGGCTGCATGGAGAGATGACTTGCCTTAAACTGTAAAGGCTGAGAAATGGAACTCGCTTTAGCTTGGAGATTTTTTACCTTGATGATATTTTGCAGACTCCCTCTCAAGGGTGAATCCATTTTGCATTTTTGGAATGGTATGGATTTTCATTTAAACTTGCCACTGATTCCAAGGGAAGACTTGGGCAGTTAGGAGAGAGTGAAAAAAAAATTTTTTTTTGGGGGGGGGTGGGGAGAAAAAGAATTCTAACTGTAGCTGCCTTCTTTGCAAAAATTATAATTCTTTTCAAGTTCCATTTCCAAAACACACACATTAGGTTGTTGTACTTAACATGTTAATTTTTTTTTTCTTCCTGTGGGGCAGCCTGTGCCTGGCTATAGGTGGACAGATTTTACACGGAAAATAGCAAGTTTCTGGCTTTAACCAGGCTGGGGAGGACATGGGGAAGGATGCGGCTAGTTCACAATGAAGGGATTCTGTTCAAAGCTGAGAGCCTCATCAAGGTTTCTTTCCACTAATTTCAGTTGAACCTGGCAGAAAGCGAGAAAAGTCGACAAAAATTGGCCTTTTAAGACTGAAAAGCAATGTGCATGATTCATAGGTTGAACAGAGATAGAAGCTACATGGAAAAAGCATGGCGTACATCTGGAAAGTGCAAATGTATATCAAACAGCTTCCTTTCTTTTGTTCTTCCATGAAGACTGTTAGCACATCAGATTTTTAACATCTTTTAAAGATACACACACACACACACACACAGACACACACACACACACACAGACACACACACCCTCCCTGACCTGATGGTATTAAGTATCAATATACTTTTCCTCCTTGGTAATAGAAGGGGGAAAATGCCTGTACTTGGGTATTCTGTACTGCTTTACTGCATGTGGTCTTAAAGAACGTGCCACATTTCAAAGACAGGCTGAAAATGGCTTAACCCCAAATCCTCCCTTGTGTGTGGTATGAGAGCGAGCCTTCATCTCCAGCTGCTGGGGCCAAAGCATCTGCCCCTCACATCCAAGCGGTGCCTAATCAACACGTTAAAGATCTTGAACTTGATCTCATCTCTTCAGAGTAGGTAGTAAATGTAAACTTGGGAAAGGGCGGCATGTGAAGTAATGTCAATAACTTCCTCTACAATGTCACTGCATCCTTCCCAGTGAGACGCTCCTTTGCAGCCATTTAGATGATTTTTTTGATTGAACTGCAAAGCACCAGGCAGAGAGGAACTGAAATGGGCCACCTGTCTCTTCATCAACAGAAAAATAAACACTCCTGCTGAGTGTCAACATATGGTCTTGTGGGAAAATGCACCCCTGGATTCTCATAAAGTGTTACCATACCTCTAACTCACCACTGACTAGGCCTGGAGAAGGTTCTTTGTATGTCAGTAGTCCAAGGGTCAAGGTCTCTTTGTCTCTCTCATTACTACTGAGTCTGAACTGATTCACGGGTGATCCTCCATCGGGTTTCCCAGCCTATAAATTACATGGGAAGAGATAGCCCTCAATGGCTGATGGAATCTAACTGCCTTCGGGTTAGCAGGACAACTCCCTGCATTCTGTGCCACCAGGGGTCTCCGAGGGTCTCTAGTAATAGGAAAAGGTTTGCACGATCTCCATGCTGTTTTCAAATAAGAACTGTCATGTGTGTGGTCAATAAATAAACCTTGGCTGGTACAACTAGCTACTAACATAAAGGCTGGCATTTGAACCCACTCAACGGTGCTGCGGAAGAAAGGCCTGGTGATCTGCCTCTAGAAAGACTACAGCAGTTCTCTGAGTCTAAGCTGACTCCAGCATCAGAAGTCACAGTAATAGGGTAATAAACATACATCCAAGCCTAAGGGATAGGGGATGTGGATAATCTTACATGGGTTTAATTAACCTGAATCTGTACTTGTCAATCCTCCAACTCAGAATGTCTTAAAAAAAAAACCTACATAAAATGACTGTAAATTAAACTGTTAAAAAAAATCAAACCAAAGCAAACAATAACCAAATAGAAAACCATAGGAAAAAAATCAAGAATTGACAGATTAATTGGAAGGAAGGGGGGAAAAATCACCTAAACTAGTATGTAAGATCCAGGGACCAGGAAAGACAGCAGAACTCAAACTGGAATGCTCATGGTCTCGCTGTCCCCGCACCCCCGACACAGCACCAGGCAAGCGGGCAAGGACTGCAGCAAGGAGCAGGCTGCTTTTGACCCACACGGCCATAACTAATGCTTTTTGGGAAGGATGAGGTTTTTCATCATGTCGAAGGAGTTGCCGTCTGGATGCACCGTCTCCACCACACTGCCCTTCTGATGGACTTGAAGGTACCCAGAATCATCTAGGCCGACTACGGACACCTCTGGCCCCTCGGCACTTCCCAGACGGACTCGCTGTCCACTGCAAAGGAGGAAGAGAGGCTGTGTTAGTAACAGAAGGCAATGGTTAGCACAGAGCTTTCCTACGGGGAGAGGGCTCTGGGGTGCGGAGGGCTGAGGCAAAGCTCTGGCTTTCTCTCATTTTTCCATGAATTGCTCTGCTAACTACTAGTCACCAGGGCGACAGTAAGCCCATTAGGCAGCTGTAAACGTCTTTTCCGACAAATTACAAGAGCACACCTGATTCTTCAAAGATAATCTGCACTGCTTCCTAATCCCCTGCACCTTTACGGAACAAAGGGCAGCTCTCTGGGTTCTACAGGTTGAAGCTGAGCTGGTAAAGCAAGTCTGATCTCATCGAGTTGGGTTGTGTCAACTAACTGCAAGTTCCTCTCACGGAACTACTCCATCTTTTTGAATATTCTCCAAATGTACCTGCTAAGTCACATCTTGGTTGAAACTAAAAATCTCGAATCCACACCCACTAAATTTTTATCTTGAAAAATCTCAAGCCTACAGAAATATTGAGTGAATAATAGACTCTCACACCCCCTTTAGTGAACTTAGGTTCACTACTAATTACTGAGAGAGGTGCTCTGGTGGCACAGTGATTAAACACTTATCTCAAAGGTCAGCAATGAGAGCCCATCCTGAGTCAGAACCCTGAGGAGGAAGACGAGGCTATTTCTGTAGAAATACAGAAGCCCTATGGGGCGGTTCTATTCTTTCCTTTATGGTCATTACGAGTCAGAATGGACTCAACAATAACAGGCCTGTGTTATTTTTCTGTTTGATTTACACACACGCTTCCCCCATCCTCTGAGCCATATGAAAATACATTACAGACACTATGATGTTCTATCCCTAAATACTTCAGCATGTATCTCCTGAGAACAAGAACATTCTCTCACAAAATCACAGTACCATTATCACTCTCAAGAAAGTCAATCTTGCTAAAATATTGTTATCTAACATATCATCCCTGTTAAAATCCTCCCAACTGTCCCATCAATATCCGCTATGGTTCACTCTCTCTTTCCAGGACCAAACTGCACATTATGCACTGTCGTTAGCTGTCACGCCTCTTCAAATCTTTAATCTTAAATATAACTCCTCCACCTTCACTTTGGTTGTTTGCTTTTCAAGACACTGACATGTTTGACGGCAGAAGCCTGGAGACCCTGAAGTGGTCTTCAAACATTAGCTGCATCAGAGTCTCCTGGAGTGTTTGTTAAAACAAAGAGGCTGGGTCCTGGGCCCCGAGTCTCTGACTTAGTGCCTGGTTCACTCAGCCCTTGTCATCGGCTATCAAGCTGGTTCTGACTCATAGTGGCCCTGTGCGCTGCAGAGAAGAATTGTTTCACAGGGTTTTCAAGGTACCACCTTGAAAGAACAATTGTCAGCCTTGTCCTTCAAGAGGTTTTGGACAAGTTTGAAATGCCAACCTTTTGGTCAGTTGGGATGGGGACTTGATTGGAATGTGCCTTTCCAACAAGTGCTCAAGTGAGGCTACTGTCACCGTTTCTGGGTGACCCCAGTATGAGAACTTCTGTCGCACCGACTCAACTCATTGCCGTTGAGTTAGAAGTAACTCACCACTAACCCTCTTCTGAGTGTCTGAGGCTGTCAGTCACACAGGAGGAGACTGCCTGTTTTTCTCCCGCAGAGCTCCTGGTGGATTTGAACTGCCGGAGAGGTATGATGAGTGAGTTAGCAGCACAGCTCCTCACAGAGCACCACCAGGGCTCCCTACATAGAGCGTCCGTGTTTAGATTTGTCAGACTGCTTCCTCAAAAGCAGATTCAGAGGCAACAAGTTGGGCAGGGACACTTCGAGGGGCTACGTGCCTTTCCCTCTGCACCCAGCGATGTGCATAATAAGCACAGGAGGCCGGTTCCTCCAGTCATTGGCCATGTGCATTTGGAAGCCGTGTCTACCAGGATTCTCCATCACAAAACCCAAAACAAAACTGATGGTGAGGCAATGAAATGTTGAGGCAATGATATTTGGCTACAGCTGTGACAGAGGAAAACGGCCCTGTAGGGTTCTTTCAATGTATTCTTTATGAGCATACAGCCAGGGCTTTCTGCTGTGGCAATGCCTGGGAAACCTGAAGCACCGACCTTGTGGAGAGTAATCCTGAGCAAACTGTGCCATTCAGCGACCTTTCTCCACAATAAAGGTAAAAGCCAGTTATTTGAACTGGCATTTGGCCTCCCAGTGGAAGACTGAATAAAGTGCTGATTGAATTGAGGAATTTAAAAAGAACGAGTAACACCTACCTGTGTACCCAATATTTATAATACAGTGGAAGCACGCCATTGGGCCCTCTGTCCTGAAACGTGCTGATGAGTTTCTCTAGCTGGGTCACAGTTCTTGCGATGAGGAGGTCAGGACTTAGGGGCTTCAGGTCTGTCTGATGCTGCTTGTTGTATTCTATGATGAGGTCATTGATGCATATGGTGGGGTTACTGTTAGTTACATTCACTCCACAGCCTGGACAGAGACAATGAAAAAAATACGTGCAGCTCAATATAATATTGACATCACACATTCTTTTTGCTCAGAAAAGTTAGTTTTTATTATCCAATTCCTGCTACCTTTGCTTAATCTCAAATGGCCCTAAATGTATTTCTCTCTCATCCTGTGGAAAGGAAGTTTTATTTTTACACTATATTCCTTCTTACTCTTCCTTTATTATCCTTATTCAGCTAGAACCATTCCAACCTCACTGGGTTTAATCAAATAGATGCTATTAAATGGGTCACTAGGTATCAGCTCAACATCGAGCTGAAGGCAGTTGCTTTTGTAAGCGGCCCATGGAGCACTGTGGTGTTAGATGGTTCACCTTCTGGGTTTGACTCCCGATCAGTGTACTACTTTCCATGTAGCCAGCATCTGTCTCTCAAGTGGAGGCTTGTGTTGTTTAATAGGATTCACCAGAGCTTCCAAATTAAGGTGGGCTAAAAAGAAAGACCTAATAATCTAATTACAAAAATCAGCCAATGAAAACCCCACCTATCACAATGGGTTTGATTTGCAACTCATCAGTGGCTATGCCTGGGGCCACCATGCACAGGAGACCAATCTGATGGGCCGCAGCTAACGATATTAATGGGAACAAACTTCTCGTTACTGTTGCTTCTGCAATAACTTAGCCTTTACGTGGTCTAACCAAGAATTGTAGTTCTGTGATAAGTCCAGATTTAAAAAAAAATTAAATTTCTTGCTTCTTTTCCTACTTGAACAACCAAACAGACTCTTGAAAAGGAATAATCTTATTCAAGATTTAAGGAGTAAATCTGGTCTGGCATGACTTACAGCATTATTCTTAGACATCTTCAGTGCTAACGTTAAGCTACGACACACAGCCAGCGGCTCTTTTAGATGCCTAAGCCTGGTCTTCAAAGGAGCCTTAGTGGCACAGAGGTTAAGTACTTAGCTATTAGCCTCAAGGTCTGTTAACCTCAAGGTCAGCAGTTTGAACCTACCAGCCACTCCTCAGAAATAGGATGACGCAATCTGCTGATGATAAGATTTTCAGCCGTGGAAACACTGTACAGCAGTTCTACTCTCCCTTCCGGGGTCTCTGTGAGTGAAATGATCTTAACTACAGCGGGTTTGGTTTGGGTTTAATCCATGGCTTCAGGTGACCCAGGGACCAGCAAGACAGTTGGAATAAGCTTATCTATGCTGTTACTCAATGTCCTTTTTTTCGGGGAGGGGGAGGGTATAGATAGAGAGCCTGTAGTGAGAGCAGCTCTTTATTTTCCTCAGGGTTCAGAGCAATCTCAAAGATATCTTAAGTAAAAATAAAATACTGAAAGAAGGAGACACTAAAACCATTGTGCTTACAAAACCTTTTAAGAAAAAAGATTCCAAACTACTTACTTCAGATAGAAAGGCATTTTTAACCCTGGGGCTCATTAGTAAGGGTTCTGAGCCATTTTTAATGTAAAAGGATTGATATGTCTTGTGCCACTGAGTTGAGTACTTCTCATAGCAACACTATGAACAACTGAACCCTGTCCTATCCTGCACCATCCTCATACTTCCTGATACACTAGAGTCCATTGCAGCAATCACCGTGTCAATCTACCTGGTCGAGGGTTGTCTTCTCCTTTGCCGACCCTCCACCATTCCCAGCATCATGTCTCTCTCCAAGGAGCCCCTCCTAGCAACATGCCCAAAGTATGTGAGGCTTCACCTCACCGTTCTTGCCTCCAAAGAGCACTCTGGCTGCATCCTCTTCAAGATGTATTTCTTCAGAGAGCTCTGGTGGCCTAATGGCAAGAAGCTGCACTACAATCCCAGAGGTACGCAGTTTGAATCCACCAGATGCTCTGCTGGAAAAGGAGGGACAATCTCCTCCTGTACAAGTCAGATCCGATTGACGGTACACCCACAAAAATAATAAAATGAAAGAAAATAAATTAAGAAAAAAGATGTAGTTTTTCTTTTGGCCATCCATGGTATGTTCAGTGCTCTTCTTCAACACCATAGCTCAAAGGCATCAATTCTTCTTGGGTCAACTCCATGCATTTTCCAGCTCTGAGATGCACAGTAAGTGACTGGGAAAACCATGGCCTAAATCAGATGTACCTTAGTCCTCAAACTTACATTATTATTCCTCAATAATTTGGAGAGATCCTTAACTGCAGATTTTCCTAGTGCAACGAGTTTCCTGACTAAAGGTAGAAAGGGTGTTAATTATGGATCCAAGTAGGTTTCAGTTTTTAAAAAATAAAGAATTACATTGCAAAGTCTAACTAGTAAAAGAAAAAGTCATAAAGTCACGCAAATCCTATCTGGAAAACACCAATCATCTATGGCAGTGGGGTGAAGTTTGCGGCTGTTTATTCATTCAATAAATATGTATAAAGCCTGTGGTTAAATATAAGGTACTCACTGAATATAAGGTATTCCCTCCCTCACTGCTACTGAGTCTGATCTGCCTCAAAGCTGACCCGCCACCAGGTTTTCTGAGGTTATTAAATCTGCTGGTGGATTCAAACCTCCTGTCATTGGGTTGGCAGTGCAGTTCCTTACCCATCAGGCCACCAGAGCTCCCAAAGGCACTAGATGAAGTGCTACATAATATTATGCTTTCTCTCTTTTATCCAGAAAAATAGAAGTCACAGGGGAAATAGCAACACAGGATACAATCTTATCTCTTTAAAGAGGACTTACATCATGTTCTTCCAAAGACCAGAAAGCACCTCTGCTGGGGACTCTGAATCGGTCCTGGACCAAAGACCACTGCCATTTCCCTTTCCTTGTCCCTCGGGAATTTAATAAAAGGCACAAATTCTCCTCTGAGCAAAACCTTTCCTTCTTCCACACTGAATGGATTGAACAGGCCCCTCCATGGAGCTCCTTGAAATCCAAGGGCCCCAATTTAGGAATATTAGCGTTTTGCCCAATCCCTCATTTAAAGACAGGAAACTGAGCTTTAAGGGTATGAAGTCGCTTGCCTAGAATAATATTGCTGGTTGCGAGCAGAGGCGGAAACACAAGCCCTGTATTTTTTGGCTAGTACTTCCAACTCCTGGTCACGTGCTTTCTGTCAGTTACTGACTGTGAACAGCAATCAAGTTCTCCTGGCCTTTAGGTGAGGAGGGTGGGTAATGGCTGGGGGTGGCCGGGGGCTTAGGAACATCCAACACTGTCAAACCCACCTCCTTTCCTGACAGAGATGCGCTGAGGTGAAATGGGTATCCTTTGTTCCTCCTTGCCGGCCTGAGCATCTTCCCAAGGCTAAATGAAGACTACTCTCTCAGGGCCTCTAGTTGCTGCACAAGGTCAAGGTAAGGAATTTGAGGCAAAAGAATCATCTCTAAAATTAACTTTCTTTTATTACTACACAATGATAAGTTTTTCTTCCTTTACTTCAAGATGGTACACCGAATGCTTAGTTTTCTCATTTCTAATTCAAGAAGTAGGAGTGTATAAAAGTATAGGAAAATGCCATTTTTTTAAAATGATATTGTGCTGCAGAAAGTATCAAGGACTACAGCCTTTGGTATGGATTCATTCTCAACATCAAAAAGACAGAGATAAAAAAAAAAAAAGAAGACAGAGATCCTCACCACAGCCCCAAGAGTCAACATTATGACAGGTGGAGAAAAGATTGAAGCTGTAAATGATTTCATCTTGCTTGGATCAACCATTAACACCCTTGGTACCAGCAGTCAGGAAATCAGAAGACATATTACATTGGGCAACTGTCCCGGACCTCTCCAAAATACTGAAGTACAATGATGTCAGTCTGAAGACTAAGGTGTGCCTGATTCAGGCCATAGTCTTCTCAATCATCTGCTGTGCATCAGAGAGCTGGACAATGACTAAGAATGACAGAAGAAGAATTGGGGCCTTTGAGTTGTGTTGGGAAAGAGTATTGAATATCCATCCCATGGACTACTAATAAAACAAACATATTTCCTAGAAAGGGTACAGCCAGAATGCTCCTTGGAGGTTAGGATGGTGAAGCTTCATCTTTCATGCTTTGGACATGTAGCTAGGTGAGGGATATCATGCTTGGAAATATGGAGAGTCAGCAAAGAAGAGGAAGACCCTCAACAAGATGGATTGACACTGCGACTTCAGCAACAGACTCTAGTGTCTCAGAGATGATGAGGATGGCAGAGGGTAAGGCAGGCTTCAGGGTGGCTGTTCATCGGGTTGCTGTGAGTCAAGTACAACTCACAGAGACCCTATGAATAACGGATACAAACTCTGTCTTATCCTGTGTCATCCTCACAATGCAGGAGCGCTAAACTTCCCGAATCACTTGCCCTTGACCTGGCTGTGTTAGCACGCAAATTGTGATCTGAAATGACAAGATCCAACATGGTGTCCTGTTGGTGTCATGTCATCTACGCTGACTGATTTTCAGATACAGCTTGCCAGCCTTTCCTCCTAGCCCTCTGTAGTCTGGACATTCTGTTGAAGCCTGCTCAGTATCACAGCAACACAAAGCCTTCAGTGAGAGAGGGCTAATAACTGTACCTGAGGGCCACTGGCCAGTAATGGTATCCAACTCTCCGGCATCGAGGGTGAGAATTCTATCCCTCAACCACTCCCTACCCCTACAAGTATGAACAATTTTCATTATTTTGTTAATCTGAAAAATGATGGAAGACAGGCTTTTTACTAATATGCCAATCCGTAAAAGTTCACTCAGGTCACATTTTTAAAAAATAAGAAACAAAACCCCTTACCAGTTATAACCTCTTTGCTGTCAATTCTGACTCAGGGATCTTATTAGAACAGAGTAGAGCTACCCCACAGGTTTCTAAGATTACAGATCTTATTTTTTTTCCCTTCCAAAACAGGTGGAAAAAGTTTAAGGCTATAAATCTTTATGGAAGCAAACTGCTCTATGTTTATCCCGTGGCACAGCTAGTGGGTTCAAAGCACCAGTTAGCAGGCAGCAACTCAACATTGAACACACTTTACCATGAGAGCTCTGTAAACTCACCAATTAGTATATAGAATGTTTCTCCCATCAGCGTTGAATTAACCAGAACACCACCAAGCTTCATGAGGTCACTGTAATAGATATCGTTGGGCCACTTCACTCGCAAGTTGATGTCCTAAAGAAAGACCTTCACATTAATCAAGGCATCATGGGACACAAAGAGGCTGCCCAGGGGCTTCTAGCTAAAGAAGAAATAAGAGGATACTCCTGGAGCTAATGGAACATAGAGCCTTGGCCTCTTGGCTTCCCCAGAAATCAAATCCCTTCTTTGGGACGTTCTAACACCAAGTACTGCTTGTGGCTAGAATGCGAGAGACCCAAAGAACAAGTCCAGCACACAAGTCAGCACTTCAGCTCTGTCTCTATCTTTACTCATGGTCATCAGAAACACTTTCTGAAGATGGTTATATTAGAATTAAGTTTATTATCCCAGAATCAACAACAAACAGCCATGGAATACCCACGAAGTATGAGGTGCTGGGGGCAGCAAGCGAGGAATACTTTCAGAGTTCTCTTCTCTTTGGCAGCTCATACTGCAAAAAGCAACATGGCCCTGAATGAGCTAGCTAACATCATAAAAGGCAGGGTCCTTCTGGAAGATGATATGTAGATATAGAGCAGGAAGTCCTTTGCTGGGTTTGTAAAGAAGACTGCACACAATTCCTGACAGTCCACGTGGGCTACTGCTTCTCCATCCTGCAATAGGTGGTGTGGGAAAATCCACCCGTGTTCATCACAGTGGAGCGGACACTGCTTTAAGCTGGGCTGAATGGCTCCCTCCTCTCTGAAGTTGGGGCATTCAAATTGAGTTAGTTATATTGAGAGGGTACAAGAACCACTGGTATCCTAGATTTGGGGGTGGTGTTGGGTCTCGTGTGGGCAGCGGAAGACAATCTGGAGACACAATAGTGGAAGAGGTATTTCTGTATTTCCTACATAGTCCAAAGACTGAGGTTTCCTCTGGTGTATTTCATGTCATTTGTTCAGTTCCCAGTAATAACAGTCTCCCTTCCAATGGTCTTTCCACTCTTATCATAGAATTAGCAAAAACTTCTTCTGAAATGGCATCCATGGAAAACTGTAAAGACCACAGCAGAGTGTTATCCAGCAGAGTGCTAGAAGATAAGCTCCCTTGGTTGGAAGACACTGAAAATAAACAGTGACCGCAACAGTGAACTTGAACATACTAATGATCATGACCATTAAGGAGAATTAGGCAACACTTCATCCCACTGACCACGGTGGCTGCCATCAACGCAGTCTACCAACAGCAGATAACAAGTCTCCTCAACACAGTATTGTTAACCTGTGTCTGTGAAAGGGAGCAGCATGGGGGTGCAGAGAGCAAAGCCCCAGGGCCCTGCTGAGAGAAAGCAAAGCACCACTGTCTTGCTGACACACTTCCTGGCATAGCCACCTGCACCCAGAGTGCCCACTAAATTAATAAATGAGGCCACAAGGTCAAAATGAAAGCTAGGAAATGACTGAACGGGCACACTTAAACTTCTGGGCTCAATTTTACTTTTCTCTAAAGTACTCAAGAGCAACAGTGTCTCTCTGGAGTCTAAAGTGTGTCTGATATAGGCCATGGTCTTTGCAATCACTTGTTATGCATCAGAGAGTTGGACAATGACTAGGGAGAACAGAAGGAGAATTGATGCCTTTGAGCTGTGGTGCTAGAGAAGAGTATTGAATGTACCATGGACTGCCAAGAAAACAAACAGATTCATCCTGGAGAGGGTTAAACCAAGCTACTCCTTGGAGGCAAGGATTCTGGGGCTTCGTCTAACATACTTTGGGCATATTGCAAGGAGGGACAGGTCCTTGGAGAGGGACATCATGCTTGGGAGGGTGGAGGGACAGTGCAGAAGGGGAAGACCCTCTATGAGGTGGATTGATTCAGTGACTGGGGTAATCGGGATGGGAGTGTCAGAGGCAGTGCGATTGGCACAGGATAAAGCAGGATTTAGGGCTGTTGTACATAGGGTCTCTATTAGTCGCAAACGACTCGAGGGCACATAACAACAACAAGATTAATTAGCCTGGCCATTTCACTATTGCTAGGGTTAAACGTATTTTCTCCTGTGACAGAATGTTATATTCTCCAGATGCTTACCAAGATGCACTGACAAAGTGACTGTGACAATGGGCTTGAGCATATTATAGATCGTGAAAACGACACTGAATAAATAGGGCAAGGCTTAGGTCTGCTGTTCACAGGGTCTCTGTGAGCCATGGTTGACTAGACACCATCTAAGAACAACAACACTGCTTTCTAAGACAGATTTCCAGACGAGCCTGAAACTCATCAGAACCAAGCACAGCAAGGATGATATGAATAATAAATGTCATGTTTAAATGTGCAGGTTGGTGACTTGGACAGGATAAAGGAAATACATACTTTAGAATTTATTATCTTTGTAGAATAGTAAAGTTTTAGACAGAAAATATGAGGATATGGCCACATCAGAGGGGGCTCTAATGGGCGGTGGGGAGGATTACATCTTCATTTAAATGTTGACGACGAGATCTGTTTCTTCCTTAAAGAGTCATGCTCTTAACATCTTGCTTCAGAAGCCAATATGAGACACACATATATATCTCAATATATTTTGCTGTTGTTGAATACCATCTAGTCAGAACCAACTCGTATCTGATCCTCCAGTGGGTTTTCAGAGTCTACGGCACAGGAAGAAAATGTCCACCTTTCTCTCATGGAAAGCTGGATTCAAACTGCATGCCTTTGGGTCAATAGTGAAACTCCTTACTATTAAGCTGTCAGAACTCCTATCAATGTACATGCATACAAACATGTTGTTATTGTTGTTGATTGTCATTGAGTCGAGGTCAACTCATAGCGACTCTATGAACAAAAGAACCAATACCTTTCCAGAGCTACTGTTTCTCCAAGTTCATAGAGTTTCCAAAGGCATGTGGCTTAGGAATTGGATGCCACTCCTGCTTCCCAACCTGTTTTACAACTGGGAGCTCCACCAAACACTGTCCACATGGGAAACCTTTATGGTATTTGATATCCATGGCACAAGGTTCAGCATCACAGCAAACCCAGGTTACCTCATACAGCACATTGACAATGAGTGATATGCAAAGTGGAAGAATGTTCCTCCAGATATAACTGCACTAGTCTCATTTGGAAGTGGTTTAGTGTTGTTGAGTCAAATATGACTCAGAGTAAGCTTTGCACAAAAGACCTGAACTCTGTTCTATAATTAACATCATTTCTGTACATGTATAAGAGCATTAGTAGAGTTTCCAGAGGCATCTAGTTTAGGAAGTGGGTGTCATTCCTGCTTCCCAACATGAATCAATCTGGAAGCTCATCCAACCATTGTACATAATAGGTAACCATTATGGTATTTGACATGACCATGGAATAGTGTTCAGCATCACAGCAACTCCAAGTTGTTCAGTACAGTAAATAGACAAATAATTGCTGTGTCTTTTAAAGAATATTCATTGATTTTAAAGCCACATCCTTGAGCAGGCCTCCACCCTTAAGGCTCAAGGGACACCCACTTTTGAGAGGGGGGAGAAAGAACAGCAACACACAACAAAAAGGACCCCAGAAACTTCCCTTGCCTGACTGCCATCAAGAGGTGACTGCCATTGAGAGCCAGCCGACTTCCAGAGTGGAGCATACAAACACACATAAATATATGTATGTATATATACATGAATATATGTCTTTAAAGCTTAGCCTAAGAGTTGTGTAGGGGGGACAGAATTCTTTTTTTAAAAAATTAATTTCAATGAACATTTACAGAGATTGT